ATCAATTTTTCTAAGAAAACAAATGGTATATTTCATGAAAATTTTTAATAGCTATCTGTGCTATTTAACTGTGCTATCAATAAAAGTGACTAATGAAACAAGGCCTTTAGTAGTTTGACCACAACAGTCATCCTTAGATATTTTATGTGCCATGTCTCTTAAGTATGTGGGTCATCAATTCTCCATAACTTCTTGTCCTTTACTGCTTTCAGAAATGCTTACTCCTTCTTTGTTGCCACTGTGACACTTGTTCCTCCATCTGTTTTTATCAAGTAGGTTACTCACAGTTTTCTTCTGCTTGCCATGCCTTTGATGTATCCTATTAATATTAAATTAGTCAAGTCTTTTCCTAAAGTGTCAAAAATCTCTACAGTCTCTTTGTTAGCAACAATTTCTTTATAGTTTCTTATTCTTAAAGCTTCATTTATCACATGTTGTCTTCAGTATTTTCAACATTTGTCAGTAGAATCAGAGCTCAGTCACTTCAAGTCTTTTCTTCATTTGTGATAATATTTTCCAACATTTATTGTCATATAGTTTTGTCCATTCTTACATTATTTTTTCACTCCTTTAATAAAATCATTTCTGAAAGGTATCCTTCATTCATGAACCTTTAAATTTCTTGTCACACTTTCCATTGCCTGTGATTACTCAAATCCATAGATAATTTTTCATACCAGCTTGATTTTGATGTTATCAACATAACTCACATCATTGACTGTCCCTCACCACAATGCATTCTTACAATTAATGAGTTATCCTTTCTTCTTGATTTCATCAACTACTTAGTTTAAAGTTTCTTTCAGTTTTTTTTTCTGAAGCTGCTATGAACACTGTCATTGGTATAGAATATGCTACTATGGTTATATCTAATACATTCTGTAAATCCAAGTAGATCTTCTCTCTTAGTCATCTCACTGTACAAGTTAAATAAATCTGGTGATTAAACATATCCTTGTCATACTTTACTTTCTATTTTATATACTTATTTGTTCTCTATTCATATACAACCAGTTTGATCTCAATACAAGTTAGAATATTTGTGTATCCTTTCCAAGTACATAAAACTTTTCTAACATTTCAATAAGTTGTTTTGTACTTTATTTGTAGAGTATGAAAAACAGATATAGGTCTTTCTGCATTTGTTTTGCTTGTTCTGATCATATCCTAGTCATGAAAGTTGCATTACTCCTGCCAGTATCTTGAACAAAACCACATTACTTTTCATCTATGTCCTGTGTGTGTCTAAATTTGCAATGAGCTCTATTCATTAGAATCCAAATTAGATTTGTTATATGGCTCAGTTTGGAGTTTGCATTCATCTGCACCTGATTTCTTTGACAATGCTATGTAAATTTATCTACTTACATCTTCTGGTATTTCACTATTGTTGTATATTCAGTTTATCACTTTTGTAATCTCAAAATCAGCTGATGATGGCAACATGTCTGTAACAATTTGATTCAAATCAACTGCGCTGTTCCTCTTCATCCTGCTGTGTTTATTTCAGATTTTACTATCATGAATCATTAAATTTTAGTATTACAGGTTCTTCTATTCTTTTATGTATTATAGGTTTTGCTCTTCTGTCGCTACAAAGAGTTGTTCTATATACTCATTCCACCATTGTAGTAAAAAAATTGTTTAATAATCATTTCCTATTTAGATATTATACATTTTGGTGCAGAAAATGTTTGTTTTTTGGGTCTTATAAACATTGTAAAGCTGAGCCAAAAATATTGGTCATAATTATAGTGAAGAAATTATAAAATACAGTTGAGGTAATGTTTCAAAACTTAAAATATCAATTTCCAATGTACTTGGGAATTGTGTTAACATGTATGAAAATCAAATATTTGTCAAAAGAAAATTTTAACTTTTTAATGAGTGCCTGAAATCAATGACTTTCTGAAATGAACAAGATCTTTTAAATCAATTTGAGAGAGAGGAAATAATGTATATATATATATATATATATATATATATATATATATATATATATTAATGGTTCTACAGGAGAAACAACCTTACAATATAACAATTAGGGTTGCATCTTGTTACAATGAATAGCTTGTCAATGATAGCTTAAATATTTTCTTCAAATAGTAAATAGAAATCAATGCATGGTATTTAACTGCATTCACTAACTAGTTGATTAATATGCTTACTAAGAAAAATTAAATTCGCTCTATCAATGACAATTTAAGTAAAAAAAATATTTAAGATTTGGCCATATATAAATAAAACTGATAATCATTCATTTTAATCAACCATTTCTTGTGACTATATTTTCTTAAATTATTTTGATAATTAATCACCTTTATCTTTAAAAATGTAAAACAAAAATGCACAAATAAAAATAATATAATCATTTGGAAGTACTCTTAAAATTTACGAAAAAATTTATGAAAGAATGATTGAAAATTGTCCCAGTAAATTTTGTTTGTACATAAGCAATAAAAAATATAATATTTAGAAAAAAATGAATCACTAATTTCTGAAGTGATAACTCAAAAAATTACAAAATAGTACCATCAATTTTAACTGATTAAATCTAGAGGAAAAATGTGTTTCTGCAACAGTAATTCTGATCTAGACTAACCACAATAAGTTAATTAGCATGAAATATTTATCAAAACAATAATTAAATGATAAATAATTAGAGATTAACAATTGAAAGAACAAGCTAATGTTGACAAGATTTATATCAGAAGTAATCATTTAAAACAAACATTAATCCAATTAATGTTAAATAAACTTAATCAATTACACAAGAGTGCAAATTTATTAGTTACAGAAATTACAGAACCATAAGGAAAAAGTATGCAGTAGTATTCTTTACATGCACAAAAGTCAAGCTATTTCAAAGAGAATCACTTAACAATTTACAACTTTGCCAATGAAAAGAAACAAATCTATTTCTCAAAAACAGTATAACAGAAATCATGCAAATATCTATGCTCCAAAAACAATCTATTCTTACCTTGATAAAAAAAAGAAAAGAAAAAATATCACTACTTTCATTCCAAAGATTTTATTCACATTTTCATAAAAACATTAACTGAAGAAATCAAAATAATTTTTTGATATCAAGATTTAGTTGTCAAAAATCATTACTGTAATGGAATTTGTTAATTTAAAGGGAAAGTAAATTGTTAAGAAAATGGCATACATTGACATTTACATGCGTCACTAATTTATCCTTCATTCATAATGTCAGTTACTTTCACACCTAAAGAATTTTCTACAAGAAACTAATCTCTATATCAGATACATCAAGACATACTAGAGTATTAGCAAGTTGAAATGCATTAACTCACATACTGGAATTGACCAACAATTAAGAACTTGGCCTAATTTTAATTTCATTTAATAATAACTCAACATGCTTAAAGAATAAAGTCTTGCACAATTTAGGAAGCAGAAGAAAGATGGAAATGATTGTTTTGAAAATAAGTTACATGTTACCATCACATTCTCAATGCATCACCATTTTGTATTCATCTTTATTGTTCTTAAATTTACATTTCAAGCAGATCAAGATCCAATCATCTTCAGACATAATTTTAATATTTTTAAAATTTTCTTAAAAGAAAAACCACTTATGTTGTTGGTCATTGGTAACTAATGATTTAATATTTTAATACTAATATATGCTTATTCATAAATATTAATTTTAATATTGAACATTATTATGATTAAATATATCAATACAACATTAGAAAAAATTCAGATCCTGTGTTATTTAAGCTTCAACATTTAAAAGAAATGTTGAAATGATAAATTATTGATTAATTTGATGTATAATCAACAATATTAAAAGAACTCTAAAGACTTGAAACTGGTATAGAAAAGAAAATTCTTTCTTCATAATCCCAAATGTTCATAAATTTAAGAGAGTACCTTCAAGAAATTTAGTATATAATCAAGTATGCAAACCAACAAAAAGAACATAAGCTCATTTATGGAAAGAAGGAGAAAAGGGGATTAGTTGATATGTAACTTTTCTTGAACTCAAGTCTCATCAGAAGCTTGCAAGCAACAATGTCAATCAACTTTGTTAAATTTGAATTTACTGCTATATAAAATTCATCATAAAAAATTTTTAGAATAATTTTTAAAAGTAGAATTTGAAAAATAACAATAAGTCTATGAATTTAATTATCAATAACTTCACAAATTCAACAAGTGACAGTTTTGAAATTTCCAATTTTTACTATGGATAGAAATTAATCCAGGCTTTAATATGAAGCGTGAGTTTGAACCCCATTTTATTTTTAAAGATGCTGCAAGTCTGATCCATTTGAAATGGGGTAGAAATGCGAAGGACAAGAATGCTGAAATGAACACTACTGTTGCTTATTCAATCTTCAACAGTCTCTGGCACAAATCAGGTGTAGCAGGAACAGCAACAGGAGCAACCAGAGAAATCTCATATATATATATATATATATATATATATATATATATATATATAGTACAGGTAATAAATATGTTGGTATATAATCCAAGTGGATCGTAATAATATAAAATATTAAAACTGATCCACAAAAAGAGCTCAATGTATTTATTATAACAGAGCACATAAATTACAGAGAAATCCAAAATTACCCCATGGGTATAGTCTATTTCAGCTGATGCCACACATGTCAGTCTTATTCAGCCCAGTCCACCATCTGGGTTGAATGAGACTGACGTACTCAGCATCAGCTAAAATAGACTATACTCATCAAGGTAATTTTGGATTTCTCTGTTGTGTAATAGAGATTATATATATATATATATATATATAACGATTGCTGTTATGGCACAACATAATTAAAACATAATAGAAGGGATTATAGACATGAAGGAAGGAAGATACAAAAGCCAGTGGAAGGATGTAGTAGTAATAATAGTAACACTCAGAATATTTGTAGTAGTAGTAGTAACAATAGTAGGGGAAGAGCAAACTGATATCACAGCTGAAAGTTCACAAGTTTGTCTCTGTTCATACTCACTCTGGTTGTCAGTGGCAGTTTTATCATTTTTCTTTGTGGAAACTATAAGTTCTAAAAATATGAAACAAGAAATTTTTTGCTGAATACAGAAATGAATCCTCAAAAATTGATGCTGCAATATTACATTAATTATTCTAACAATAATAATTATTAAAATTCAAAAGCATTTTTCAAAATTTTTCATGGTATTAGAACTATTCAAGTAGAATTTTTTTAAATTTGTCTTACATAGAAAAAAATCATATGAAAAGATGAAAAGCAAATATACACTTTACATTTTAATTATTAGCAGCCTCTTATATTTTAATGAATAAAACAAAATTTTATAAAAATAAGAGGCTAGTGACAAAATATAGTAGATGCTGATTGCTTACATTTTAGTAAAGAAAACCAAATCCTTTTTATCTAACAATAAATTATTCAAAACAAAGAAAAGTGCAAAACAAAATGTTAAAAAAAAGGAAATTTATTTTTTTTAAAATCATAAAAATAATTTATCCCAAATTGAATTTGTCCAATATTTTAACTTACACAGGATCAATATAAAATTTCTTAAGATAAATTAAAAAATGAAATATCTCAATGTTCTATATTAATACAACAAATAAAAATGTGTTTTGAAATTATATCTTTTTTCAAGTTCATTTGCAAAAAATGCAAGGTTAGAAATGTACTCTGTTCATTCTGGTTTTCCATGAGTTACAATTGTATAATTGGGATTTATGAAATTTTCTATATTGAGATTTTTTTGTTACAAAATTTTACTAATCATTATTTTTACTCAAACAACAATAACTGTGAATCAACTAAGCATTATACCATTTGTAATTTAATCTTTTGAGGAAGCAATATATTTGAAACATAGAAATGTTATACATGAAATGTTAAATTATATGAACATCTTGAAATTACAAGTTTTTTTAATAAATTTAAAAATATTTAAATCTAAATTTTTGGCTTAAAAATAGTTTTAAATGATATAGGAATTTTATGAAGGTAATATTTTAATTTATTTCAACAACTTCATTTAAGCATGAATAAGTACACTAGTCACATTTAAATCCTAATCATTGTTTCAACATATGATTATCTTCATAGGAAAAAGATTGCAAGTTCCATGAGAACATATTCTATTTTTCTTACATTTTAGAAAAATACTTTGTAAATATTTTAACAATTCTAAAACCTATACTTTATAACATAAGTTTGAATGTTTGATAGACTGTCTATAATCAAATATTACAACATTTATGGTTTATGTGATTAAGTTTTCTTGCTACATAATCAGATAATATAAAATGCTAATATTTTGAAATTTGATAGTTCATTATGATTAGAAATGTGTTTTAAATATTGCAAAATGATTACAATTTCAATATACAAATCCTTCATGAAATTCAAAATTTCTCAATATTTAAAGAAAATTCAGTTTTATAAATAAATCAGCTCTTCTGGATAACAAGCAGTAAAAGTTTAATTCTAATATATGCAAGATTGATGCTGAAATGTTCTCGGCCTGGTCAAGAAGGGGTTTAAAATACATATCTGATATTTGAACATTTATTCAGATTTGGGGATTTTCAGCACTTCTATTGCTAGACATTTTAGATTTCCGTGTTCATTGTTGATATAAGATTTTGATTTAGATTTTACCTTCGGGTAAACATAACAATTAAAAGTAATCTATTTGTCAGATGTTTTATTAACTGGGTTTAAAAAATATGGCAAGAATATACAAACCCTTATCTTAAAAATAATGAATAAAACTTACTATCAATCATTTTAATAGAGTTTAACATTCATAAGGCATTTTGATCTCTTGCATTTTCTTAACAATGAATTACAAGAACAGAACTATCAACAAAAGTAGATGTTAACAATTTTTCCTTGTCACTGAAGTTTTACATTATAAATATTTCTCTTTAACTCTCCTGTTACTTGTTTCTATGCCAAAACCATTTAAAGTTTTCATATAGCACCTGAAGACTAATAAATATGCTAATGATATCTTAAAAATTTAAAATGGTGACAGTATAAGAGAAAGTAATGAATCTCACAGAATCCTCAAATCATTTGTATTGAATCATATTTTAACAGCAGATGCTCAAAGCACTGTCAGTAACATAATGACCCACCTATTTATAATAAGAAATAAAAATCAATTTTTTAAATTTTTATGAAGAAGCTGTCATACTTTCAGTAGTATCTAGGATCATTTAGAACTTTAGTGCAAATTGCTGCAGTCATATTGGCATAGTATGAAGGGAGGTACAAGTCTGAATCCATAGTGATGCTGAAAATAGGACATGTGAACATTATGATCCACTTGACTCCTCCAGATGATGAATGCTTCTCACAGATTAAGAAACAAGCAAATTTTGTATGTTAAATAAAATGAACACAAATTGCATAAAATTTAGAGCCTGAAAGTTGAATTTTTAATGTAGTTGATTTAAATTTCATGAGAAGAGTGAGTTTCAAGAAAAGGGTGACAATCATTGAAAGATAAAAAAAAAACAGAATCAATGTGAAATTGCCAAAGCACTTCAAATATCAAGGTAGCCTAAGTTGCCCCCAAAAAGCATGTTGATGCTGGGAGACAGTCTGAATAGGTAAAAAACTAGCAGACTTTTGAAATAAGACAAAAATATCAAGGAATGCTAGTTAGGTTACCAGTATCCAAACTAAAGTTAATGGCTTGTCGAGTAATGAATGAAAGCAGCATTACTTGTGAAATGTCAATTCATACAATAAGAATACTATGTAAGCATAATCTAAATGGATAAAATAAAATGTCATTACTAACAAAAAATATTAAGCAAGATGAAGACTGGGCACAGAGGTATCTGTTACAGGATAATGACAAGTGGGCACCAGTTGCATTTAGTGAAGTAAAGGAAAATTGAATTACATTCTAATACAAGATAATCTATCTGAAGATCATCTGGTAATGGAAACACTCCAAGATATACAAAAAAGACTATAAAATTTGGTGCTAGGATACTAATGGCTTGGGGCTGCATATAAAAGAAAATTGACTTAAAACACACAGAGAACAGTGAAAAATACAATTACTTTGCTAAGGTCTCACCTAATAGTAGATATAATAAGTGAAATATTTTCACCTGACAGAACATCTTGCTATACATCATGTACCACAACAAAGTTTCTCACTAATAAACATATTGTAGTGTTTGCCTACCCAAAGCTTTGGGCTCAATATAATTTATGTAGAGAAAAATTAAAATAGAAGTACTACAAAAAGCCAAAGAACTTACAGCATCTTCAAATTTACTGTCAAGAGAGATGGCAAAACATTCCTGATGAAAATTTTGAATTTATATTTTGCCATCTCATGTCAAATTGAGGCTATACTTCATGCCAATAGGAGCTCCACAAAGCACCAATTATGAATTTTAATGTCTATAAATATATACATAAATTTAATGACACTTTTCTGTGAGTCAACAACATAAAATGATTATTTTATTAAGATTGTTTAGCAGTATACTTTTATCAGTAGTGTCTATGGACGTTGATTAGTTTGGTTTGTTTTATGTCATATCAACCTCAATAGGTTATTTAATTTTAATTTTTAGGATAGGTTCATATGAAGAGAATATGTATTCTTTGTAAGAAAATCGGGTTTCACTGACATATTTTTGTAAAGAGGGTTTTTGTCAAGAGTCAAATCTATTACTGGTACTAATTTTTTTTTCAACCTTGACAATTTTGCTGAATGATTTTTTTGCATCATGCTTATATAAGTTTTTGTTTGTCCAGTTTATGTTTAGTGGGTGAAGTGTCCATAATTTCTATGCTCTCTGGTATGTTAGTGCTTTGTTTCTTGTCATGTTTTGTTCTTCAGAGGTCTTGTCTGTTTGGTCCTGTTTTATTTGTTTTTCCATTAGGTCCTTTTAATGATCTTTGTTTGGATAATGACTATTCCCTTATTTGAGGTGAGATTTTTATTACTCCCTTAGAGGAGTTAAAAATTGGTGGGGGTAAGCTTTTACTTTCATGTCATTTATTTGATTGATTTTTAATGTTTTCTGCATTTTTTTTGGTTTTTATTTGAATTAGAAATGTGTTATTTTTCTTTATTTTTTGTATAGATTTTGCTTCTATCATGGCTGATACAACCTTTTGTAACACAAATGGTTACACTTTTATTATTTCACCATCTAATGTTTCTATGACTATGAAAATTGTAAATTGTTTTTTTCCTGATATTTCATTGTCACTTTCAGTGTTTTCATACTGTCTCTTGGATTGTATATAAGAATTAGTCATATAATTTTGTTTTCATATTCACCATCTGTGCTCCCCACCCGCCTCAGAGTTCCTTCTTAAGAGACACTATTAGGGGGGACTAATCCCATTTGCCTTCATATGCCAAAGCTACACAGACAGTATAGATGTGCTGAAAGTGACTGCAAACACCTGCATTCCCCCACCATATCTACACAAGTATAGTATGGTGTAAGGATTCACAGCCATGTCATAGCCATTCTCTTTCATCCCAACTAGCCCAATGGGATTGGATTAGGCTATTCTATTCACCCAAAGTCTTCGAAGCCATAATCAATACCGAGGTGGTTAACCACCTCATATCCCATGATCTGCTCTCAGACAAGCAATATGTCTTCCGCTTTGCCCGATCTACAGCTAATGTGCTTACGGCCATCACTGAAACTGTCTACTGAGCTCTTCAGAATAACGGGGAAGCTTGTGCCGTGGCCCTAGACATCTCCAAAGCATTTGATAGGGTTTGGCATGCCAGCCTTCTTTGCAAGCTCCAGGGTTATGGCATTACGGGTCGATTGTTTGACCTAATACAATCATTCCTGTCAAACCGTGAACTGAAGGTCGTTCTCAATGGATTCTCCTCCAGTTCCTATCCCACGAACACAGGTGTTCCTCAAGGCTCCATCCTAGGCCCCACTCTATTCCTTATCTACATAAATGACCTTCCTGTTGCCATAAATTCCCAAGTTGGCATCTACGCAGATGACACCACAATTTATTCCTGCCTCAAAAATAAATCTAGT